TAGGACAGAGTAGAACTGCTCCGTAGGGTTTCTAGGGAGCAGCTGGTGGATTTGAACTGCTCACCTTTTGGTTAGCAGACTAGCTCTTAATCACTGCACCACCAGGGCCCCACGGCACCACCAGGGCTCCCTTAAAGCCTACAGCACCCAGTATTCCCAGTCTTCTATCCAAGTACTAACGAGGCCCTACCCTACTTAACTTCCAAGATCAGATAAGATTGGATGGGTTCAGGGTGGTATGGCTGTAGACCCCCATCATTTGGGGGGCACTTCCTTACTTTCTGGCACCACAGATTGTTCCAGGCTCCTCTTGTATATTTCCTGCCTTAGCCCTGTTTCCTTTTATTGGAGAATGGGTATTTAGAGACCCCGATCTGAGCACTGAATGTGTTTATTGATACTGGGGTGTCATTGCTTCTGGATCCTCTCAACAAATAGAGCTAGGCAATACCTATCTGTATACTAACATGCTAATGTACCCATCTATGTTTCTGTTCCTATCAATATATACATTAAACACCATGCGATCATACAGATACCTCTGATTTCAGTCCAACACCAAGGGTTCATTCTAGCCTTCCACCTTTCCTTATTTGTAACTTCTTTCTGCAACACTTAGAAATCTGGCTGTCATTATTTACAATATGTTTACTTATTTGTTCAATTCTAGTATACACATAAAGCAGTTTCAGAATTGTTTAGCTATATCCCTGTGAGAAATGTTTATTATATGCTAGCATTTGTGTAAAGTTCTTTTTGTTTTTAGCCTTATAAAGCCCAGTCAACACGCTGCTTTTTAGTTACTTTTCTTCCCCCACCCCTTCAGTGTAGTTAAGTTATCTATCTGTGTGTGTGTGTGGTAAATATATAGGTAACAAAACATTTGCCATTTCAACAATCTTCACAGGTACAGTTCAGTGACATTAAAATAGGTCCATCATGTTGTTCAGCCATCACCATTAGCCCTTCCTGAATTTTTCCATCACCTTTAATGGAATATCCATTTTTTTCAAATAGTTAGGTCCATTTGTTAGTGTCTGCATTCTATATTGGGTGCCCCCACATTCTGATTGGTTTTAATCATTTGTTTATTTTAGAGGTGTGTGAAGGAAATATGAAACATGACTAATATTTTAAGAGACAGAGTTATACAGAAAGACTCAGGGAAGCGTCACTTCCTCTTCATTCCTACTACCCCCTCCCCATTCTTTCCTTTTTCTACCTCATTCCCATCCACTTGTTAAGTAATCCAGCTCTTCCTATACTTCTTTTATACACTTGAGCAGATACCTGTGTATTTTCTTGTGTCCCCTTACATAAAGGGTAGTCGACTATGGGTATTCTCTTGTACTTCGCTTTTTTTATTTAGCACTATGTCCTGGAGATCATTCCATATCAGTGCTCAGAGCTTGTCCTCATTCTTTTATTCAGTTGCCTGGTGCTCCATTGTGCAGACATCACACAGTTTATTCAGTCACTCTCCTACAGATGAGCATTTGGGTTGTTTCTGATATTTTGCAATTCCGAAGAGTACTGCAATGACAAACTTTGTACGTGTGCATATTGTATTGCTGGAGGAAGAACCCATGCTCTTAACATTACATGATGTTGGATTCATGTATTCTATACATGTGATTTTTAACATCTTGATTTGGGTGCTAACATTTAAGAAATTGAAGGTCTCACTTAAAAATCTGGATTTGTATATGTAGCTATGTATGCTCCTGGGATATAAAAACCACCATTTAAAGATTTACTCTAAACAAACAAACTGAAAAACCAAACCCGTTGCTGTTGAGTTGATTCTGACTCATAGTGACCCTACAGGACAGAGTAGAACTGCCCCGTAGGGTTTCCAAGGAGCCACTGGTGGATTCGAACTGTGGACCTTTTGGTTAGCAGCCGTAGCTGTTAACCACTGTGCTATCTGGGCTCCTAAGAGTTACTCTAGAACAGTCAAAAGATTTGGCAGCACTGGGCCAGCTTCCTGCATGGCCCCTACCACCAGAGCTGACTGGTGGGTACCCCTTGTAGACAGGGCAGGGTCTACAGTTTGCCACAGTCTCCACAGCTCCGTGCTCCCTTAGAGCTGGCCCTTGTCCCTGTGTATGTTACTTAGCTGGCCTCCAGACACCTGAATTTGCAACCTCTAAACAATATTGTACGGAAAGCATTTGGCCCAAGACCTGGACATGATAAATAATGACGTTAATAAGAATAGCTAGCACACATACAACCCTAACTACACACCAAAGCAAAACCGTACCAGCTGCTGTGGAGTCATTTCCGACTCACGGTGACCCAAGTGTTTCAGAATAGGATTGTGCTCCACAGGGTTTTCAACGGCTATGACCTTTTAGGGAAACCCTGGTGGCGTAGTGGTTAAGATATCGGCACCAAAAGATCGGCACTTCGAATCCACTCGGCGCTCCTCGGAAACTCTATGGGGCAGTTCTACTCTGTCCTATAGGGTCGCAATGAATCGGGATCAACTTGACAGCAATGGGTGGTTTACGGGTGACCTTTTGGAAGTAGATCGCCGGGTTTTTCTTCTGAGGTGCCTCTGAGTGGATTTGAACCGCTAACCTTTTTGTTAATAGCTGAGCCCTTAGCTGTTTGCACCACCCAGGGATTCCAACTATGCACCAGGCATGCTTTACTTATACTTATTCATCTAAGCCTCGTAACAACTTCATGGGGTAGGTACTATTAGTCCATTTTACGGATAAGAAAACTAAGGCTCAGAAAGGTGAAGTGGCTTTCCCAATGAGAACACAACTTGGAAATGGTGGAGCGGGGACTGAACTGGAGTGGCCCCAGAGCATGTGCCCTTGACTACTAAATCCAAGAGCTGTTATAGTTAATGCTCCTCACTCCCTCTGGGCACCCTCCCCACCCCAGCATCCTGACGCCCCCTCCGCTCCTTTTTCCCCAGATGAGCCAGGTGCCATGACAGTAACTTGGACCACATGGGTCCCTGCCCCCTCTGAAGTGCAGTTTGGGCTGCAGCTATCAGAGCCCCTGCCCTTCCAGACCCTGGGCACCTCCAGCCCCTTTGTTGATGGGGGCATTCTCCACCGGACGCTGTACATGCACCGAGTCACTCTGCGGAGGCTGCTGCCTGGGGTCCAGTATGGTGAGAAGGGTCCCGGGCTGAGGTGTTGAGGGAGGATGGAAAGAGAAGTGAGATACAGACCAGAAGGTACCACTGGCAGGTGGCTGAGGCTGGGCTGGTACCTCTTCTGCTTATCTGCAAGCCTACTGTATGAGACCTGGGCTGAAAATGAAAGGTGTTGGGGACCTGGGGAGAGGTGGACAGAGGGGTGTGGGTCAGATCCATCCACACCTCTCTCTCTCTACCCAGTGAAGATGGGTGGGGGTGGGGGAAGGGTCCCAGGTACCCCCAGCTGTCTGTGACCTTTTCCTCTCTCCTCAGTTTACCGTTGCGGCAGTGCCCAGGGCTGGAGCCGTCATTTCCGCTTCAAGACCCTAAAGAACGGGACCCAATGGAGCCCCCATCTGGCTGTGTTTGGGGACCTGGGGGCTGACAACCCAAAGGCTCTCCCCCGGCTGCACAGGGACATCCAGAAGGGCATGTACGATGCCGTTCTCCATGTGGGTGAGGCTTCAGCAAGGGTGCACTGGAGGCATGGGGAGTGGGAAGCAGCCTCAGGACTATGGCGGGATCCAGGACTGTAGCTTGGTTCTGAAGTCATAGAGGATGAGACTGGCCATGGAGATCAGTGACTGTGGTTTACCAGACTGCCCAGATTGAAATCCCAGTTCTGACACCTCGAGATGTGTGCATTGGTTTTTTCCTCTGTATTGTTAGTAGACATAAGACCAGTTCGGAAGTCATAGGATTGTTGTGATGACTACATAAGCTAATATGTATCCAGGTCTTGCAACATCACCTCATATGTTGTAAGTGCTAGATAAGTACTAGTTGTCATTGTTGCTATTTAGGGGACAGAAGATGAGATGGGAGATGGCGGTTGAGCTGATATGGTTCAAAGTGCAGACTCTGGCATCAGGCTCCTGGGGTTTGATTCCTGTATCTTCGCAAACCAGCTCTGTTAACCTGGGCAAGCACTTCATCTCTCTGGGCCTCACTTTCCCCATCTGAAATGGGGATGATAATAATACTCACCTCGTGGGTATTTTGAAGATTCAGGTGATCGTGCACATAAAGCATTTTGGGACTGCGCCTGGTACAAATGCGGCACTATCTGAGTCTTTTGTTCTGGCGGGGGTGATTGTGGATTGTTGTTGATAAGATGGTAGACAGAGCTGGGGACTGGTGGCGTCAGAGCACAGGAGACTAACATGGTCCTGAGGGGGCCCAGAGACCAGAGATTGAGGAAACAGTTCCAAGAGCCAATGCGGGTGGATGTGAGGTAGGGATCAGGGACTGGGATAGTTCAAAGACTGTCTTAGTTATCTAGTGCTGCTATAACAGAAATACCACAAGTGGATGGTTTTGACAAAGACATTTATTCTCTCACAGTCTAGGAGGCTAGAAGTCTGAATTCAGTGCACCAGCTCCAGGGGAAGGCTTTCTCTCTCTGTGTTGGATCTGGGTGAAGGTCCTTGTCATCAATCTTCCCCTAGTCTAGGAGCTTCTCAGCACAGGGACCCCGGGTCCAAAGGATGTGCTATTCTCCTGGCTCTTGTTTCTTGGTGGTATGAGGTCCCCAAGTCTCTCTGCTCGCTTCTCTCTTTTATGTCTCAAAAGAGATTGACTTAATACACAACCTAATCTTGTGGATCGAATCCTGCCTCATTAACATAACTGCCTCTAATTCTGCCTCATTAACATCATAGAGGTAGGATTTACAACACACAGGAAAATCGCATCAGATGACAAAACGGTGGACAGTCACATGGTGTTGGAAAATCATGGCCTAGCCAAGTTGACATACATTTTTGGGGGACACAATTCAATCCATGACAAAGACCGAGAGTTGGTTGTACAGCCCCACACCTGAGCAACCAGGTCCCTCAATTCTGGGAAAAGCAGAGCCAGGTCTGAGTCCTTACTCTCTCCCTGCACCCCCCTTCTCAGGAGACTTCGCCTACAACATGGATGAGGATAATGCCCGCATCGGGGACAGGTTCATGAGGCTCATTGAGCCCGTGGCTGCCAGCCTGCCGTACATGACATGTCCTGGGAACCACGAAGAACGCTAGTGAGGACCCGGGGCTGCGGGTGGGCAAGGGCCAGGCGGGGAGCCCTGGCCAGACTTGGATCAAAGTGTGTGATTCTTTGACTTCCAGTGCTTCTTAGTGTCTAACCTTAGTCTCTCATACTGCAGTAGCTCATTTGTGGTAATGAGAGGAGGGGAGATGAAGGACGGGCTGACTTGTTAGTCTCTCCCAGGCCTGGGAGCCAGACTCCAGGCCTGACAGGGGGGAAATGGTGAGGACAGGGAGCTGTGGCAGCCAGGCCCTCACTCCACCTTTTTACTTGTTTTATCCAGCAACTTCTCTAACTATAAGGCTCGCTTCAGTATGCCGGGGAACACTGAAGGCCTTTGGTACAGGTAATCTGGGAGTGTGGGGACTAGCCTCCCTCCTCTGAAGGATGGGGCATGCAGCGGAGACCCCACCTCTGACCCCTGCCCTCTGACCCCCTCCAGCTGGGATCTGGGCCCGGCCCACATCATCTCTTTCTCCACCGAGGTCTATTTCTTTCTCCATTACGGCTACCACCTGGTAGAGAGACAGTTCCGCTGGCTGGAGAGTGACCTCCAGGTAACCGGGGTGGAGCTTCCCTTTAGTCCTTCGGCCTGCTTCACTCCCTCTGCCCCCCAGCCCTGCCCCTCACCTGGGCCCTTCTCTCTAGAAAGCCAACCAGAATCGGGCAGTCCGGCCGTGGATCATAACCATGGGTCACCGGCCCATGTACTGTTCCAACGCTGATCTGGATGACTGCACGCGGCACGAAAGCAAGGTGAGGACCCCCTTTCTGGCAGGAGGCAGGGACCCTGAGAGCAGGCAGGGTTGGCATGAGTCACCCTCACCTCTTCGCTCATCCTTCCCAGGTACGCAAAGGCCTCTTTGGCCGATTATATGGGTTGGAGGATCTCTTCTACAGATACGGTGAGTGACCCCTGGGACCCCCAGCCCCGTGCCCACATCCCGTCACTCCTGGATTCCAGAGCCTGACCCCCATTAGCTCTGTCTCAGGGGTTGACCTGCAGCTGTGGGCTCACGAACACTCGTATGAACGGCTGTGGCCAATTTACAACTACCAGGTGAGACACAGGAACGACCAAGGTCTCATGTGGCTGGTGGCAATGGACGCCTGGTCAGACCCCCTGGGCAGGGCCTGCTGTGACCCCTACTGTGTTCCCTTCTTCAGGTGTTCAACGGCAGCAGCGTGACACCCTACACCAACCCTCGAGGTCCCGTCCATATCATCACAGGATCTGCTGTGAGCAGGGCAGGGAAGGGTGCCCTTGGCTTCTCTCCCCTTGCTATTTATTGAGGGCTAACCAAAAGGTTAGCAGTCCAAACCCTCCAGCCACTCCTTGGAAACCCTATGGGGCAGTTCTACTCTGTCCTATAGGGTCGCTATGAGCCAGAATCAACTCGACGGCAGCGGGTTTGGTGTTTGGTTTAGTCTTAATCAATCTGAATGCCCCAGGCTTTATGCATGTGAGATTATCTAACCCTCCCCATAACCCTAGGTTGGGTACTCCTAGCGGCATGCCCATTGTACAGATGCGGAGACAGGAGCTCAGAGAGGGTAAATACTTGCTTGAAGACACAATTTGAACAACTGGCAGTGATTAGGGGCCTAGCCCAGGTCTACTGGGTCTACGAGCAGAGGGTTTATTATGATTTTAACTCAACTACAGACTTTATTCAGCTGCTACCGGCTTTCTCACCTTGCAAGTAGTTGACATGTCCCCTTAGTCTCCTCCAATCTGTGAACGTTCCTCAGTCTTTCTTTATCTTTTATCCTTCATGCTTTTTGAAGACTAAACCCATTGTTGTCAAGCGACTCCGACTCATAGAGACCCTAACTGCCTCTAATCCTGTCTCATTACCATCATAGAGGTAGGATTTGCAACACATAGGAAAATCACATCAGGTGACAAAGTGGTGGACAATCACACAATACTGGGAATCATGGCCTGGCCAAGTTGACACACATTTTTGGGGGGACACAATTCAATCCATAACAAGAATAATGAATGATTTATTTTATTCTGTAGTTATAATCCAACACTATCGTTATTTATTTTGCTGCTCAAATTGTTTCAGCAACGGCCACTGGGAACTCTTCCAGGTTGGCTACTGTGCTGTATTGACACACCTCCTCTTTTGTGAGTGCTTCCTTATTTTCTGGCACCACAAGATCCTCCAGGCTCATCTTGTGTTTCTTGCCCCAGCCTTGGAATCAGCCATGTCTCCAAGGAGGGAAGGCTTCGTTTTTAATACTAATCTTACAAACTATTATTATCAAAGTCACTCATGATAAAAGTTGCAACAGTACGTCGGGCGTAAGGTGAGCAGCAGAGGGCCCCAGCCCTTCTTAGTCCCACTTTGAATAGTTAGGTCTCTTGATGGCTTTTGTGTGTGTCTGTGCTTTAGATGAAGGTTTACACAGCAAATTAGTTTCTCATTAAACAATTAATCACATATTGTTTTGTGACATTGGTGGCCAACCCCGTGACGTGTCAACACTCTCCCCTTCTCAGCTTTAGGTTCCCCATTTCCATTTGTCCAGCCTTCCTGTCCCCTCCTGCCTTCTCATCCTTGCCCCTGGGCTGGTATGCCCGTTTAGTCCCATATCCATGGTTGAGCTACGTGTATTATTGTTTTATGCGCCTGTCTAATCTTTGGCTGAAGGATGAACCTCAGGAGTGACTTCAGTACTGAGTTAAAAGGATATCCGGTGCCTATACTCTCAGAGTTTCTCAATGACATTTTGAAGGGTTCTCTGCATACACAAATGAGTAATCGTCTAGCTATAGATGTGTTACTGTATCACCTACTTTAAAAAAATTACCTGTCATGTTTCAGACACTGGTGGTTCTCAGGCTTGACTGCATATCAGAATTACCTAAGGCACTTTTAAAACTCCCAATGCCCGGGTCACACCCCAGTCCGGAACAGTGGAATCTCTGAGGGTGGGACCCTGGCTTGGACACGGCTGCGCAGCCACCGCGCAGAGCAGGAAATAAAATATTTTCAGCACCAGATGGCTCTCTATGCCCCTTCCCAGCCATTCCTGCCAATCGGGACCACTGTTCTGACCTCTACAGATTAGTTTTTTCTGTAAATATTTATAATACAAAGAATCCCCATATCGCATTCACCCCCAGATTCCCCAAATATGAACAGTTAACCACGTTTGTTTTAACTCCCTTTCTCTCTCCTTTCTCCTTCCCTCCCTCCTCTACCTGTCTCTCAGTATCTGTCTAGAAACATTTTATTACTATTTTCTGATCCAGTGAAGAGTAAGTTGCAAACATCATGCCCTTTACTCTTTTTAATTCTATCCGTATTTCCTAAAATACAAGGGCATTCTGTTACATCACTGCAGTGTAATTATCAACTTCAACTAGTTAACACTGATAACATACTATTATCTCATATACAGATCTTATTCATATTTAGCCAATTGTCTGATGACAACCAGCTGCTGTTGAGTGACTCAGACTCATGGTGGCCCCATGTGTGTCAGAGCAGAACTGTGCACCGTAGGGTTTTCAATGGCTGGTTTTTTGGAAATAGATTGTCAAGTCTTTCTTTTGAGGTGCCTCTGGGTAGACTCAAACCTCCAACCTTTTGTTTAGCAGCTGAGCGGGTTAACCATTTGCACCATTCCAAGCCCCAAACCAAATCCGTTGCCACTGAGTCGATTCCGATGCATAGCGACCCTCTAGGACAGAGTAGAACTGCCCCATAGGGTTTCCAAGGAGCGGCTGGTGCATTTGAACTGCTGACCTTTCGGTTAGCAGCTGAGCTCTTAACCACTGCGCCACCAGGGCTCCATTTGCACCTTTTAGTATCCTTTAAATCAAAGCACAGAATTTTGTTTTCTGATCCAGGATCTAGTCCAAGATCACGTGTTGCACTTCGGTGTTTGCATCTCTTTAGACTCCTTTAATCAGAAATATTTTCTTCTAGCCTTTCTTAATTTTTCATGGCCTTGACACTCTTGAAGAGCACATAGAAGTTGTTCTGTGGAGTGTCCCTCTCTTTGGGTTTGTCTGTTGCTTGCTCATGATTAGACTGGAGGTATGCGTTTCTGGTAGGAATACACAAAAGTGATACTGTGTCCTGTGTACCTCACCTGGAGCCTCTCTTTGAACCTCAGTTTTCCCGTCTGTAAATATGTATCCGTTTCATTACTGATAATGTTTACTTTGATCACCACCAGCCCTCTCCACCATAAAGTTACTTTCTCTTTGTAGTGAATAAGTGTCTTGTGGGGAGATACTTTGAGACAATGCAAACATCCTGTTACTCCTCAAACTTTCACCCACTACTTTTACCATCCAGGATGAGCTTGCCTCAATCAATTACTGCAATGATGGCTGCAAAATGGAGATCTTTCTAGCCTCATTACCCTCTCTGTTCTTCCTGCTTGGCTCTCTGCTGCAAGGATGAATACCCGCTCTCCCCGGCACTGGTGTTTTGAAAAGCTTTCCTTGACGGTCTACTGTGCAATTAGGGTTGAGGCTCACCGATTTTTTCTATTCTGCAGCTAGCTTTTCCTCTTAACAATAATCTTGGCTACCTTTCCATATCGCCCTCCGTCTTTGTGATGGCTACACTATAATTTATTTAACTGACCCCACTGATGGCCATTTGGGTGACTTCCAGATCAGGGCTTTTACAGAAAAAGCTGCAGCGGGCAGCCTTGTGCGGCTGTGTGCATCTTTCTGGAAGTCAGACACCTCGGCCAGGGGAAGCCTGCCTCGGTCCAAATGCTCGATCGTGAGCATTGTTGAGGCCAAGTCTTAACTGACTTTGTCTTCCTTGGGAGAGACTGGGCACGGCCTGCGAGTCTGTTCTGTTCCCCTGAGGGTCCTCCATGTGCCCCAGCCCCGGGGCTGACTGAATCTCTCTGGCAGGGCTGTGAGGAGCTGCTGACACCTTTTACCATCTTCCCACGGCCCTGGAGTGCTGTGCGCGTGAAGGAGTATGGGTACACGCGGTTACACATCCTCAATGGGACCCACATCCACATCCAGCAAGTGTCTGATGACCAGGTCAGTGAGGGGCAGGCCTGGTTCCCCTGCCTGAGTTACCGGGCTCTGCATGTGGAGGCTGAGTGGTTACATGTGTGGACTCTAGAGCCAGACAGCCTGGGTTCAAATCCTGCCTCAAGTACTTACCAGCTGAGTGACCTTGAGCAACTTATTTAACCTCTTTGAGCCTCAGTTTTCCCATCTGTAAAATGGGGATGGTAGTCATTTCTGCCTCACAGGATTATATGGGAGTTGAATGACTTATTATTTGAAAGTGCTTAGAACAGCATCTGGAACAAGATAAATCCTGTAGGTATTTATCATCATGAGGTGGGGGCAGGAAAAGGCCGGTGGGTGATGGGAGACAGGTAGAGGGGAAACAATAGGATGTGTGTGTGGTCGGACAGCTCAGGATTAAACGGACTCAAGTACTAATCACTCACTTATTTTTGCCTTTGCAGTTTCAAAATTATGATGTCTGAATTTTTGGGCAGTTATTGTAGAAGCAGGCACTTTATATTTAGATAGACAGATAGGTAGATAGACAGACAGATGATAGATAGACAGATGATAGATAGATTACAGATAGATGGTAGATAAATGGATGGATGGATGGATGGATGGATGGATGGATGGATGGATGGATGGATGGATGGATACATAGATAGATAGATAGATAGATAGATAGATAGATGATAGCAGTCTTCTAGTCAACTCCAACTCATGGTGACTTAATATACAACAGAATGAATACAGCCCAGTCCGGCATCATCCTCACAGTTGCCAGCACATCTGAGTCCATTGTTGTGGCCATCGTGCACATCCATCTCGCTGAGGGTCTCCCTTGCCCTTGCTGGCCTTCTACGCTTCACGTTTACCAGCATTTTGATCATCCCAACAATCCTGTGTGGGCAGTTTTCTAGATGAAGGAACTGAGGCTCAGAGAGGGGAAGTAACTCTGCCAGGCTCACACAGCTGGAGTGTGGCAGAGCTGGGATCTGACCCCAAAGACCATGTTCTTTTTGTTACAAATAATGACCATTCATTGGCAGTGCGTGCGCCGGGCACCAGCATTTGTGTGTATTCTCTTATTCAGTTCTTCTCCCCATGACCCCCTGCGGGCCATTCTATGGTTCTCTCTATTTCATAGAAGATGGAAGTTAGGCTTAGAGAGGCAGGTCGTGTGCTTAGGGCCACACAGACAGTGGCTGTGCTGGGATGTAAACCAAGGTTTGTTTGACTTCAGGATCTGGAGTTAACATTTTTAATAATAATAACCTATACTTACATAGTCCTTGCCATGTGCTGGGCTCCCTTTTAAGCCCTTTATAAATATCTTATATGATCCCTACGTCATCTATGAGGTAGGAACTATTATTATCATTTCCACTGTTCAAACGAGAAAACCGAGACCTAGAGAGGTTTAACAACTTGCCTGAGGTTGCACAGCCCATCAAAGGCAGGACTGGGATTCGAACCCATGCCACCTGGCCCAGTGACATCACTAGGGTTGGTGTCACCCAGTGTGGTAACTCACGGTGTCACTCCCCGATGCTAATTACCACAATATTGCAGTTAAAACACCAGAAACTTTGACAAAATCAGCGAGTATAAAAACGGGCAGCCACAGAAACAATAACACGTGCTTGTCACACGTGTAGGCAAAACCACGTGACGGTAATTGGGTCATTATAATTGGCTAACAATGACAGCTCTGACGAAGCTCGTTAAAAGGTTCAAAAAGTAAATTAGCATCGAATTTTAACCTTGTAGGTATATTAATACATGTAAGCTGGGCTTACAAAAAAATTTTTTGTTGTTATAAAAAATAATAAATTTCTGCTGAAACACTGCACAAAAATTTTATAAACAGTCATTTTGGTGTCACCCCCTCTGACAGTGTGACCCCGTGTGGTCCGCGGCCCCCAGCACCCCCCTAGTGGCACCACTGACCAGGCCCCAGAGTCCAGGCTTTGTCCTCATTGCTGTCTCTGTTTTTGTCCCTCTCAGGATGGCAAGATTGTGGATGACTTCTGGATAGTGAGACCCCTGCTCAACCGGATGCTGTACCTCTAGGGATGAGGGCAGCTCTGAACAGGAACCCAGGAACCCCGGGCCTTGCTGAATTGGCTGGTGCCATCAGACGCTGCCCAGATGCGGGTGGGGAGTCAGGGCGGGCCTCGACTCCCCTGACCTCCTGAGGCCCCACGTGGGGTGGACACAGCCCTGAAGGAGCTGGGCTAGCTCTCTCTTCCCAGAGAGGTGGGAGCCTTCGCTGACTGTGGAGAGTGGGCAGATGTGCGGGCGCAGAATGAAGCAGGGTGGGTCTCCGGCAGGCACAGCCCCGCCCCTGCATAGCTGACAGGGCTGGGTGCCCACAGGGCCTTGGGAATAAAGAGGCTTGTGCCTGTGACTTTGTCGACTCTGCGTTTCTGCTGGAGATGCCCTCTGGGCCTCCTCTCCTGCCCACCCCGACGAGGGCGGGGACCAGCCAGCAAGTCAGCAAGGTGGGCACGGCCGTCATGACAACACGCACCAGCAGGTGGCGACAGTGGCTTTCTACTTCCAGCCTGGCCCTCAGAGCCAGCTCCTGCTTCAAGGGCCCACGGACTATCAACCAGCGTTCCTTTGTGCCTCAGTTCCCCTGCCGCTGTCTTGTCCTGGAAGGGGGGGAGTAGTATTTGCATTCCTGCCTCCCACCTGGGGCAGCTGACAAGCTTCAGGACGTCACAAAAACCGAAACTCGTTGCCGTCGAGTCGATTCCAACTCGCAGCGACCCTTTAGGACAGAGTAGAACTGCCCGCTAGGGTTTCCAAGGAGTGGCTGGTGGATTTGAACCGCTGACCTTTTGGTTAGCAGCCCAGCTCTTCATCACGATGTCACATGCCTGCCCTTTTCCTTCTGCCTTCGCTCCTTCCTCTCGGCCTTCCATCCATTCTACCATTGCTTATTCAGCATATACCATTTGCAAACCTTGTTCTCAGCACCAGACAGGTCTCTGCCCTCAGTTTGCTAACATTCTAACAGGTAGATGGACAGTAAACAAGAAAAATAAATAAAATATAGAACAGGTTAGATCGCTATACAGGCTAAGAAAAAGCAGGAAAGGGGTTGGGGAGTGGGGGGCAGTTATAATTTTCCCTAGGAGCTCAGAGGGACCTCACTGAGAGGGTGACATTTGATCTGAAGGAGGGAGGGAGGGAGACATGTGAATGGAGATCTTGGGGATCTCCCAGGCAGAGGCAACAGCCAGTGCAAAGGCCCTGAGGCAGGAACGTGCCTGCCTGCTGGCACGTTGGCAAGGAGGCTAGCGTGGCTGGAACAAGGTGAGCGAAGCGAGAGTGGAGATGAGGTCAGGGTGATGGCGGGCTTCGTGGGCCACAGTCAGGACTTTGTCCTTTACCCAGGCTGACACAGAGCCCTGGGAGGGCTCTAAGCTGAGGAGGGATGGGATCTGACTCCAGGAGTCCCAGGGCTGAGGCGTTGCCCAGGGGGAGGCTGTATCCCAGGCTCAGGGTCTGCGCAGAGCTCTTTCAGCCTCCTCAGATCTAATTCCCACCCCAGCCCCTACTTGGCACCAGGCGCACAGGCCTCCTGGAAGTTTCTGGAGCACATCAAGCTCTTTCTCACCTTAGGGCTTGGGCACCGGCCGTTTGCCCTGCCTCTTCCTGCAGCTGGCACCTTCTCAGCCCAGATCTCATCCCCAATGCCCCGTCCTCAGAGGCTCTCCCTGACTAACCCAGCAAGAACAGCCTCCATCACTCTCTGTCCCTTCCCTGTTTTACTTCATTTATAGCTCTTGTCTGGAGCCCTGCTGGCACAGTGGTTAAGGGCTATGATGGACTACAGCTACTAACCGAAAGGTTGAGAGTTCAAATCTACCAGCCACTCCTTGGAAACCCTATGGGGCAGTTCTACTCTGTCCCATAGGGTTGCTACAAGTCAGAACCGACTCGACAGCAATGGGTTTGGTGGGGGGGTTCGTTGGTTTGTTTCTTTAGCAGCTGTTATTGTTGTTAGCTGCCCTTGACTCAGCCCCGACTCACGGCGACCCCATGCGCCAGTCCTGTGCCGTCCCCATGATCGTTTGCACATCTTACCATTGTGATCCGTGTAGTTTGCCTTGGCTGATTTCCAGAAGATCTCCAGGCCTTTCTTCCTAGTCTTTATTAGT